GATATGCTCACGGACCAATATATTGATGCAGTTTTTTATTTAAACTAACTTAGGAATCACAACATTTATAAATTTAATGCAAATATAACATGAAATTAGCCCACCATTAATATGCAACGTATATGGAGGTTTTAGGCTGGTATATTTTTTAATAGTTGAGTTCATAAGTCAATTAAAGTTAGATCATCATGGCAAACCTGGAAGCACTGGACGGCCGTTTAGTCCTAGTAAGCAACTCTTCAGAAGTGCCCATCCACGAACCCGCACGCTGGATTCGAACCCGGGCCTTCGGTCTCTTGGGATAACGCTTAATTTACAGACCGCTGAGCCGGCATCCAACGGTGTTAAAATCTAACTTCAATCAATTCGTATTAAATATTTTCCAAGGAAATGCTTTAATTCTGGATAGTCCAAAGAAAAACTGACTATAACAGAAAGTAAAACAGTTTTGCATATACAATTTTTATTATATGATTTTTGTCCCCATGATTTAACCTACAGTGAAATTAACAAATATTTTGAGTTTAGGCATATGGTAATAAAGTAATGATGATAAAGTGCTTGATGAGTTAGTGCATCTCCCTCGAGACATGTACAATATCTGCCTACCTCAACACGAAGTTTGGATTACTGTAGAAGATGCCAAATCCGAACGTGAGATTAATTCATGAAGTTTTAGACGAGTGGACTGAATCATGATTCAGATTACTTATTTGGGGTCCACGTGACTATCATGACCAATTGTAAGAGGCTTGGAGTAACGTGACTTACAGCCATCCAGTGATCCATATACATTCGCTCTTTATCTTCCCTTAGTTTTATAATTTCCAAGTCCATTTCTAAACTTACTATTTTCTGCTACCATTGAAATTATTTCTGCTTTTATTACTCTGGGAATTGTCATTGTTATATCCGAGCGAAGATTAAATCACGAGTAACTTCTGAGTCACATTAATGGACCAATATTATCTATATATTCTTATGGTATAACTATTCAACAATTAGATTATGTATATTTATATTCCTCTTATTATAAGCTTTATTTTGATCTATAATTTATTATTGTACGATTTACGGTTCTTAAGCTATGTTCAGTTTATTGACTACTGCCTCCCACGTTCACAGCCACATTTGGCCAAATATTGTACATATGTTGTTTCCTAATTTATGGTACGTTGTGGTCTGTCTGGTTGATAAATAAACCGAGTATGTTAGAAATAAATGATTCATATTGCAGAAGCTGGTGTTTGTGTTCTGGACTCAATTGGACGAGCTAGGAAGACATATGACCAAATAAGACGCTAGGCTGCTCATATCAGTCGAACGTCATTGGTTTGACACAGTACAAAGATTCTATAAGTCGTATTTTGATTGATGGATAAATCACGTGATAAAAAGCCAGAAATAAAGTCATAACAGTCATCGTAATTTAATCTAAAAGTGATGTTGTAGTATAACAACTTGGACCGATACTCATGTTTTAGAGTTTGCATCGCATATAAATGATTAACATGAATTTCGCTAAGAGTCATCCTTGTCATTTTGGATGATTTGAGTCCTTTGAATGTTTAATTTACACACATGTTTTTTTTGCTTGTAGATCTAATTATAAAATCCTTTAACTAAAATAAATTGACATGACATTACATTAAAAACTTTATCTTCTTGTAACGTTAGCATTTCAGTTCTCTTATCAAGAAAATAATATATTCCTCGTATCAGAAGGATAATTTGAAAACTTTGCATAATTAACTAGAATTGAGACATTTGTACGATTTTCAGATAGATGGAGGCATCCATTTTTTAATTAGGAATCAATCTTATAACAACGTTAATATATTTAGTTATTTTGTCCAAGAAACTAAATGCATTCTGGATGTGTTTTTTTTTTAATATTTGAATTTATTAGTTTCTTTGATTCAATTTTAAGTTGAAGTAAACTACGACTCACGGAAATTGTAAACTTGTTTCATAAGTGAAAGTCAATTTATATCAGTTTGATTATGCACATAACGTAGCTTTGATTCTGCATTTACTTTCACAAATAATATTATTAGTAAAGATGGACAGTAGAATACAGGACGTGCATTTCGTTCTATTTGGGACTGATCAGCTGGATGTCCCTGGATCCCAGAGTTATTGTTCAATCCAGGACTCGAACCCAGTGTCGTTTACCCCAAACGCCATTGCGTTATCCGCTTAGTTATTGAATACTGATAACCACCTGCTTGTGCAATGGGATGAAGTTTAAATTCACATGATGTTGTTTTACTTGTACCTTCCCATTGTTATTTAGGACTACAACTGATCAGGCTCTTGTTGGCGCACCCTGGATTCCACTGCTAGCCACTATCCATATTTGCCTATAATGCTTGTGACTTAAGACAATATCTAAGCAGTCCGTACAGGATGCACACATGCTAGTAAAAGGCTTATCACTTGCAGACTTTAACAACAATCGGAAGATACAAGCAAATAATACCAAGTGAATTTAATACTTATTATTGGTATCTATTCTTTTTAATACTTTTATCTCCAGTCATTAAATGAGAAGTTGGATGAAAACTTTGAAGGCATAACTTTCATGCTACTATTTCATCAAACTAGTGAAGATTTATTCAAGAGATTTTATCATCGAAATCACGGTAACATGGTAGTTTAACCATTATCTTATAAAAATGTTTTATGCGTTTGTATGAACTGACTATTTCTTAGGATAAACTGATATTGCTTTTGTTATTCTTCACATGTGTTGATCAAAGTTTATGCTACTGATGTCGATAGATATATGTAGTACGTGTCATCAATCGAATGTGGAACGCCTAGCGGTAGACGGTTGAGAAAATCGTAGAGAAGAGGATGAGAACAGAGATTGATTGCTATGGAGGCAAAAGGACAGCAAAGCCTGAAACAATTGATGGGTATTTTGCAATGAACTATTTACTGTGTGATTCCCAGATTTTACCAAGATATACTGTAATGTTGTATTATAGTACATTTAGTTGTCCCAACTTGCATTCTCGTTCAATACAACATAACTTTATGAATAAAGGTTTAGCCAAAAAAGATAATGTTTTTTATTTTCTATAAACATGCTTGGAAACTAAGCAATGATAAAGGAATGAATTTGTATTCTGGAAACGTAAGCAAATTATTTAAATGCTCGAATTTAGTTTGATTTTAGTCCGAAAAATTTAGAGAATTTAAATAATATGCTATAAATAATGAGTTTTATTCATGTTAAGACATTGAATAATGTTGATTTGAATCAGAGTACAAAGGTTTGGATCCGTAAACAGACTACTTCATACACAAATAAGCTTTTACATTATAAACTGTATAGTTACATTTAATAATTAGTTATTAAGAAAAACAGATGAAATGCATAAATAGCTAGAAAATATGCTCACTTTTTCCCAATAATTGTTGGTGGAAATTCAATGAACTCTGGAAACTCGAAGTCACCTATCACAGGATAAGCATAGATTGGGACGATTAACTGATTCTCATGATCCTTTCAGGTGAATACAAAACAAATTTGAAAAACAAGTTATATTGTGTATTATTAACAGTATAGGGTCTTTTTGAGTTCAAGGGTATCGGATGTGATGTAGTCGTCCGCCATAAACTATGGAATAAGGTCTATTAATATCATGATTTGATTAAAGTTAGACATACACATCATTAGTATCTGGCTCAGTTACTTAGCAGTTAGGTGTCTGCACATGAGACCAATGGTTGTGTGTTCAGTCCGCAGTGCTGATTAGTTTCATGATAAGACTAAACTTTGTCTAGTGCTTCTCCATATCCTATCGGTGTCTAACTTAGTTGATTTTTATATCAATGCGTTGTATTAACTTTGTCTAAGTTTTGTCGTACAGATAGGCGAATTAATTATAATACGTTTTATGCTAGTTCTAGTAAACATTGACTGCGAACTGTTGTGGTTGTGAAGATTTGTAGCTTAGGCGGATGATGAACTATTAGATATTACAATAAAAACTGACTTAAACTCACGGAGTGTAACTAAGTTAACTACTAACAATCGTTATAATCTGAGAATTGTAGTGCTGAGAGTGCCGTAGTGAATTAGGACATAGCACTAAATCAACCGATTATCATTGTCATCAGGCAATACATCGTTATTTCAACAAAATATTACGTTATTTATTATATTTCGGATAAAATATTGATAATTAGTTCAACTCAAGCGGGTACGTTGTTTCATGTGGTTAAACGGCTTTTTGTCCTGTTGAAGTGAATTAGTTTTAGTAGGTTCTACTGTATAAATAAAACATTATATAGTTTGTATAACCCAGGGTACTTTAGTCCTAAAATCCATGGATCCATTGACTGATGGACTTGACCTTTTAGGTAGATGAAGACTATCTGATTAGAATCCAAATGACTAACAGAACTAATTGTTGGAAATATTGGATAATGTGCCTCAAAAATGATCTCAATGGTGTAAGTGAGTCTATTCTTTGTGTTGAAGTACTTGTATTGTTAATTTCATAAGCCCATTCTTACTTACAGAACCATATTTTCTATAACTGATGTTTTCCATCATTATTTGTATCACTGTTATTGCTACGACTACTGCTCACACTACTACTGCTGATGCATTTACTATCCCGATTGCTCTGCAATTCTTTTCAATAATATTGCTTGACTATACAGATGGGCTGTGTCAACTTAAAGTAGTTTATTTATACGGCAGTTTTTATGTTGATTATGATTAACTGGCCGACTGATTTCTGCTGCAATATTCTGCATTACAACTAATTAAATTATAATGTAGATGCATTAAATTGTTTTTCATTGTAATCAGTCATAAACTTTGATTGGCACAGATAAGCACAAGTGGATTTCATCAAAATAAACTAAAAAGCGTGGTCATTTTATGAAACGTTTCTATAAATGGATAACGAGGTCCTTCATTGTAAAAAATTTATTAATTGATCAAATTTTGCAGCTGAAAGCATCATTAATAGAAAGTAACGTGTAGTTGAATGTAACAAAGTTAAAATGAATATGTTGAATCTATTTTTACATTCGTTAAAAAACAATTATAAATATTTGCTTACTTCAGTATGCACACGTATACAATCTTCATAGTAACTTGGTTTATCAGGGAAAAATATCAGACGGCACGTAATACTATAACCAGGTACCAAACACTTCTAAAAGCAACATGAAGACAAGAGAAATAAAACCGGTCTACTATTAACGCATCTCTCAAGAAAATGTACCGGTCTTAAATAAAAATATATACATATTCATAAAGTGAACTCTAATAAAGCTTATAGGAATCTTTATTGCTTTATATTCAACTTGTCAGAATAAGTTAAAGAATCAAACCTCAGTTAAATTTGTTTGAATCACATACAGCTTGTACAATTCCACTCAAAGTGCCTGTAAGCGCCCAAGATATACGCTACAAATGTAATTACATCCACTTTGGACCGGAAAGTGATTATGTCATAGGAAACGTATGAGTTCATATCGAGCATGCAGTATTGGATATACAACTTTAGCTATACAGCAGTATATCAGATAACAATATTTGTTTTTAATTAACCATAAGAATTCCATTTCATTATACGATAAATTACTATGTCTCTTTATTGTTATGATAGCTTTTCGCTACTTTTTACGTTTCATGTATTTTCATATCTAAACCTGTCATTTTGATTTTACAACTTTCGATCTGTAAACTTAATTGGCTTATTTTCGTTGAAATAAAGCCTTACATTGTACCAAATAATATCTTTAAAAAATATTCGCAATGATACCGTAAAACGCTATCTTGGAGCTAAAACTGTAGATATACTGCAGTGACGTAATGGCGAAATTATACCGGACAGAAACAGTACATGCACTTGACATTGATAATTTGATGACATATTTTGCACTCTTAATGAAGAAAACACACGTTAAAACAGTTTTTAGAATGTGCGTGGCCAGTGCGTAGTCATTTTGTATGTAACTGTAAAGAAATCATATTTGAAAGAGATTAATTTTTGTTTACATATTAAATTAAGGGCGAAAATTTAAAAAAATAATAGGCACTGCAATGCAATACTTGCGAATGGGTTTTGTATGTTTTGACCACTTTTTAGAGACTTCAAAATTTTGAAAGGGTGTTGTAGGTCAAGATTCGAGTCTTTATTTGCATTATTAAACGACTAACACGTCCTACCCTGATAAGCTATATTGGTCACAGTGGTGAATAATTTCAGTGAGCTACGGACTCTCCAGGGAACTATGCACAGAATTCATTAAGATAATATCAACATAATATTCTTGTTAATGAAGACTGAGTGTCAAGACTATATATAATCGACGAACCAATGAGACTTAGGATAGCAGGTCCTGGATTTCCAAGCGAAATTCACTCAATTGTGTGTCTAAATAGCAAAGGTCGTCGATTGTCCTACCCCAAAACTTCAATAGATAAGAAACAGGTAGCGGGGTCTTTTTCAGCAGACTATGCTAGTTAGAAGCCAGAGTTATTTTCAAAAAAGGAGGACAACCATTAGCCTATCAAGCTATAAACGGTAGGAATGGTTTGCAAGATACCTTGAACAAATTGAGATAAAGTTCCAAACAGTTAAAAGATATCCCTAGCATTTTAAAGACTTACCGGCTGTTTATACGACAGTCGAAAGTACTTGGTATCTGGAGGCAAAATGTGTAAACGTGTCACGCGGTCAGATATATTTTTTAATTCAAACTGTTTCATTATTCCAGACTTTTGAGACCGAAAACTAATATTATCAAAGTATATTTCTGCTGGTTCAACGGCAATGAATTTATTACACCCCATCTTCCAAAAAATTTCTTCAAAAATGAAAGACACATCATGTGAACTGAAATGACTAACCTGTGTTCAAAAGGTGATTTGGGGGCGGCTCACATTTGTAATCTTCAACTATTCTTTCACTAATTTCTACCATGTTGAAATTGACGAAATTAGTAAGTACAAGGTTCACGTCAGAAATTATGACAAGCAAGTAAAATCTAATAGTGGTTCAAAAGTGATCATCTGGTCACCAACTTTAGAAATGTTTAGTACTAGGATTCAGAAAATAAGAGAGCGTATGATGATAATGTCGATAAATGCCGATGGGCATTCAGTTGCAACTGAAATCATGATTGTGAGTAATCTTCTGCAATGAGATAAAATGTTTGACACCATAACATTAAACTGTTGATAGATTTGTGTTTAGTTTGGAATTACATTGCGTGTTGTGGATTTTGGGGAAAAACGTATTTGTCTTAACCTGAAGAAGAAAGGCATAAGGGGAACAGTAACAAGATAAATCAAAAATATCAGTGTGAACTGATGTCTTATGACGAGAGCTCAAGATAATTAGGACTTAGCTATCTGATGATAAATTTGTTAGAAAAGGATTTTTAATGTATATATTTCAAAATTGTGATGTAACAGTTGTTATGACTGTAAGGTCAAATTCAAAATGTCCAATGTCTAAATTGTGTAAAGTGATTGTCTTTATAGCGTTAAACAAGTAACTGTGATATTACCATGCACGCTACTCAGTGAGTCCAAAGACAAAAATATGACACAATGTAGTGACCAAGTGCACGGGACAATGTCATGGAGGAGAAGAATAATAGAAAAATAGATAATCAGCATTCAATATATTTTTGTGAAATACTAACATCCGATGTATCCAACATCTCAAGTCTTTTACATGAATTTGCATAGCAAGGGTTGATTTCTCAGAATTTGCTTCTTGTTTCTAATGTACCGTTTTGAATAGTTGATAATATTTAATAATTTTTAGTCTATCGATTGTGTCAGTTTGTGAGGATCGTATTATTTTAACGGTTTAATTCACGAGTCGATCTAAGCTAGAGCACCATTGAAAACCTGGAAGCACTGGACGACTGTTACGTCCAAGACTTCTCAGTGGTGCAAATCCTTGGTCTCGGATATAGGACTCGAACTCAGGACCTTCGATCTGGCATACGAACATCTAATTCCAGACCACTGAGTCGGCACCCAACGATTTTATTCTGCAACTTCGACAAGAGATCTTGCGCAAACCTTTATCCCACGTCCGAGTGGGAGGCCATGACCAGTAGATTCCAATCGGTGACGTATGTATGACAGCTATTCAGCGCCCAACGAAAGTCTTCTCACTTACTGTATAGCCGAGCTCAAGAATCGTGTGGTCAGAAACCGAAGTCACTACATATATTGAAAGCAGTTTTAAGAAGATAAAAATAAAAGGCAGATGTTTTTATTTGCAATGTTACAGACCACGTGACGTATTTTAATTTTGATCTCAACTATTACCCTGGTCATAACATTGAGTCACTTTTATTAACCCGACGAATGGTTACCGGACAGAAAATCTAGTAGTTAGTACAATCGTTCTTGTTCCCTAGCGGTAGAATAGTATTACAAAGTTTGCTTACTCTGCTAACAGGTCAGTCATTATCACTGTTAAGAAATGAAGATGGACATGATCTGTTACACGGAGACCAGAATTTTATAGCTCAATGGAATCTAGTATTTTCATGTGTATATATATATATATATCGTTGTTAAGCTGTCAAGAAAAATGTTTGACCAAACCACATATTCTGATGCCCGAAAATCGCGACAACGCTGGCTATGAATTCTAAGTATTTTTTACTGGTAAATAGTCTGTCCTAATATGTTTGTGTTGCATCTGTAAATCATATACAAAGTCATTATGTACATAATTACACAAGCAACAAGCGATCGCTTGCTCAAATTTGGCATACGGATTCATCTTCTTTCTTTACATTATTATTTCCATGTTACATCAATAATATGATGCACTGTCAATTTTGAATGCTACATATATCATTGTCTACCCATGTTCAGTTTTTTAGTCTGCATTATCACGGTAGACGTCTTTATAAACATTTATATTTACAACTCAATAGTTTGAACAATATCTTCTCCAAGCACATGGAACCCGCCCGAAAAACGGTAGTTAAACGTTTCGTAAATGTCGTTAAAACTCTTGTCCGTGATTGTTCCTGCAATCCAAAATAAAATGACTGCTTATTTACGAACGCGGCGTCTTTGAATAACCGTATTATCGCTTCCCAAAGGTTCAAAGGATTCAAGCATAAACAAAAGAAAGAAAGCTAAATGGAATTTTAACAAGTTCAGTATTTTAATATTTTATCTAACCAATCTGCAACACACCTTCGTCTAGATTTTTCTGATTTGATTCAGACTAGACTAATTTCTAAACTATGAGCTTTGCAGTAGCTTGATTACCTGAATTGCACAATCACTTCAACATACGAATTTGATCGTGGATTGTACGCTTTGAATTCAGTTATGATGAAATATATATGACAACCTTCAATACCGGAAGCAAATGTTGGGACGTAATTTGAAAGTGGTTGTAGTTTCCAGAAGAATTTTTGTCCAAAAACTACCCTACACAACACCAGCTTTCCATTTTGATGTAGCCAATAAGTAAATTGATTTATTTTTAAATAATGTTATAAAAGGCGCTAACAAAATACTGACGACTTTTTGATAAGCCTCGTTTAAATTAGGTGTAATACCAAAACTAATCTATCTGTTTAGGAAGCAATGTCAAAACAATCTATCGTTTCATAATTATAGTTTATTTCATTCGGATTTACCAGCTGACTTCATTATTGTTAACTTAAAGATTTAACCAAAGCTCCCATAATACTCAGGTTACTAATAGTCAATAAACATACTTCTTGAATTATGAAAGTGGAAGTATCTTTAAATTAAGTATTTTTGTGGCATATTTATTTGATTAGTTTGCTTTGACTTTGAAATTGTGGGGTAATCCAAGACACTTTTAAAAATCATGTGAGTTCCGTTAAACGAATAACATAGGTAGACAGAAAAGCAAAATTCCAACCGGTTGTTCTACATGTGAATGTTTCCTCTACATAAATCTCATAGAGGTGAGAATAAAAATCCCACGTTTCCAGTATAAATTCATTCGTTGTACGTCTTTTCGTCACATTCATTTGCATTGATCACTTTAGACCAGATAAGACTTTAATCCGTGATGTTTCGCCCTAAGATATTAATTGTATCTCTTATTATTGATGAGCTTTTTCTGAAATCCTTGACATTTTCTCCTACTTTATGTCAACAAATCTCTATAACAGTTATCATCTTTGTCAGTCTGTCCTTATAAATACGATAACTAATCCCATTGAATATTTACCATGATACCAGAATCAAATACTACCCTAGTTTCACTGCCTCTAACACAATTTGATTTACTTAAGGTGGGGTAAATTTCACGCGCCCTGCAAGTTGACTTGCAAGTGACAGTCGTATTACACACGATAAATGAGAATCATTGATGGGCCGATACAATACATTTAAACGCATAAAAATATTTCTGATTGTATGTTAATCAACAGGATTCACTCAACAAACAATCTCCTTTTATGATGTAAGAATAATGACAGAGTAGTAGTGTGGTGTGTACTACTGATGTTGACAGATATAAGTAGTGTGTATCATCAATCGAAAGTGAAATATCTAGCAGCAGAAGGTTAAGAAGAGCAAAGAAAAGAGAACGAGAACAGAGAATGATTGCTGTGGAAATTAAGGAGCAATGAATCCTGAGACGATTGATTGACACTTTTCAAATGAAATATTTACTGTATGATCCTCAGATTTCACTAAGAAGTTCTGTAATTTTGTGTTCATGTACATTCAATCGTCCCAACTTGTGTTCCCTTTCACTAAAGTAGTAGCAACAGTAATTTCCTTTAAAGTTTATTAACAAGAAATCTTATCTCGAAGAGAAAATTATAGACAAATGGTGGTATCTTTCATTCGTTGTTCTGTACTTATTAAGTCATGTGTAGGGATGTTATATTTATTCATCTATTTTAAAAACCTATTGAATTCTCAATAAAGTTTAGTATAGCGACTTATTTTATTAAACTGAATATGAAAGTGCTTCATTTCACCGTAAGACACAAAGTACTAGTCCATATTCTTACTTAGTTTCGTATGAGTGAAGTAAGATTGATTTTATAATTAAGCAAATATGAACCAATGGAATCCAGTTTAATGGTTTTAAAGTCTGGAGTTTTCAAATTACATTTCTGAAACAAGGATAGGTGTGTATTACTAGAAAATTCCATATACACCTAAAATCACTAATATAATGGTAGTGTGGTGTGGATTACTTATATCTACATAAGTATTATATTACGGTGGTCAGGCATAGAATGCATTTCAGTAGAAGATCGATATGGAAGGAACGGGAACGGAACGCAATTGGTATGACAATGCATGAACAATTAAATCCGAGGCAATCCACTGATATTTTGCAAAAGGAACAGTCGCGTTTGAGACGATGGATTGATATTGTGCAAATTAATTATTTACTATATTGTTCTCAGATTTTAGTGAGATGCTCTGTATTTTCATGTCAAATACATTCGATTTTCCCTACTCATTGTCTTATTCACTTCAATAGTAATTGAATTCATATCAATCAAAGATGAAATTAATTTCAAAGAACAGGATTTATCTGATCTTCTGGTTAGATTTTCTAATAATAATTAAGTAAACCGTCCAAGTGTTACACATGTTTGCAGTATTTCTAATCCATTGGAATGTTATTTCTCTTCAGTAGTTGTTTCTTGAGGTAATCTAAACTTGTACATTTGAGATGTGTTATGTTGTTTGATTTCCGTTTCATAATCTTTCAACATTAAATTACTAGAGTAAAAAGAAAATTTTAAAAAAATGTTACGTAACTGACAAAAAATTACCTAATAATTGTGATATTACAATGAATTATGATTGTGAATTCATATTCGTGTGCTGTTTCATCAGTGAGATGTATATTTTGAATATGGAATCAAATACACATGAACCGGTATATTATTTCTAATCCTATGTCCTTGTAACAACAGCACACAATTGCATAAAACTGGACGTGTATAGTTAATCACCGAGATTTGAAGTCAAGTGACTTTGGTTTAAAGGTAGTCAGATTGAATCCATGTTAATACGAGTACAATAAATAAATTTTGGTTTGAATCATATAAGCGAATATTATGTCGGTAACTGTGACTATTAACAATATAATTTTGGTAGAGTTTTATACTCTGAGCTGGATGATTTGATGTTGGAGCTTTCATTGTTCAGAACGACATCATCAGCACAAACTTCAGGTAGAAGTGAAGTGTTTGATTTCAACGTGCTTGTTGAAATCGATCCAATCTACTAACCAATCAGAAAGATTGCGGACAAATATTGGACGAAGAATCAAATCACTTTGAGATACAATCAAAATAAGGAAGTGAACAACAACAGATTAAAGGTCAACACTAACTAATTTAAATCCAGGTCAACACGAAAAGTTGCAACTTATATGTGGAAAAATTTGAACCACTCACTTCTACCTGAAGTTTGTGCTGATAATGTTATTCAGAAGAACGATG